GTACCATGCATTAAATATACTCTTAATAAACCCGTTATTATTATATTATTTTATTAGAATCTAGTTTTCCGTGAAATTGCTTTTTTAAGAAACGTGAATCGTGAAACGGCCTTTTTTTTCGTTGTGAAACGTGATCCATCCCCCCCTTTCCCACCCTCCTGCAATGCAACATTTGCCCTACCATAACCCTAACCCATGGCCCGTCTTCATACAGCGAAATGATTTGAACAAAGGGCTTTTTTTAAGAACTTGTCTGGGGGGGGGGGGCATCTGCAAAAAGGCACCATACCATACTGAGTGTGGAGAGATGACAGATGGTTGTTGGTGACAAAAAGTTTGGTGTGGTATCGTATGTACTAGTAGGGGGGTCTGGGGGTATTCTCCTCCAGAACATTTTTTGTATTATTCCACTCCTGACTCCTATAGGACTGAAATGTGAGCATTTTCTGAAACAGATTTTTGGTTATACAGCGTTACATTGTGCTTTGGTAGACCGAATCTGATCAGTTAACTTACTAACGTACTTGCATGGTATGTATGTTTATGTAAATACCACAACTGGGTCACTCAGGGGGTAAGAAGCTTGTTAAAGTTAGTGGGCCCGACTAACGAGCAGGGAAATCTTGAAAATTTTGAGTCTCTAGATCGTCGGAAATGGCATTTTCAGAGTCTTCTTTTGTGATAAGGAGTGGTCATTATTTATGGGGAGGGGGGTTGGGAAATGGGAGGGGGGGGGAAACGAAGTTTTACCCTTATAAATAGGGGGGTCAAAAAAGTTTTAACACAGAGAAGGGGGGGTCATAAAAGCTTTTGAACTTAAATACCATGTCTAGAGTTCTGATTTCTATAATCACAAATAGCAAAAAAGAAGACTCTGAAAATGCTATTTCCAACGATCTAGAGACTCAAAATTTTCAAAATTTCCCTGCTCGGCGCCAACCATGGTAGCGCCTCGCGATTCGGTCTATCAACGCACAATGTAACGCTGTATATCCAAAAATCTGTTTCAGAAAATGCTCACATTTCAGTTCTAGGAGTGGAAAATATAAAAAATTTTCTGGGGAGAATACCCCCAGACCCCCCTACTAGTACATACGATACCACACCAAACTTTTTGTCACCAACAACCATCTGTCATCTCTCCACACTCAATATAGTATGGTCCCTTTTTGTAGATGCCCACCCCCAGACAAGTTCTTAAAAAACCCTGTGTTCAAATCATTTCGCTGTATGAAGACGGGTCATGGGTTAGGGTTATGGTAGGACAAATGTTGCATTGCAAAGTAGTAACACATAATATATATTTTTTAATCATATATGGTTGAATCATATTCACCAGGGTAAAACATCATGAGCTAGATTAAACAGATTGTCCTAATATCTAACTTTACCTGCAACGCACACCTGTTTCATTGCTGTTAATTTTTCAATCCACACTGGGGGGGGGGTCAGAAAAGTTTCTACTTTTATGAGGGGGGAGGCACAAAAAGTTTGCCTTCAATCTGGAGGGGGGTCAAAAAAGTTTTCAATCCTTATTTTCCATTTCCCAACCCCCCTCCAAAGTTTAAAGAGCTCATTTCTATACAGTACTGTACATTTATTATATTGTCGGTGGTGGGGGGGGGGTTACTATTTTTAGAATTCATGTGAAGGGGGTCATTGAATTTTTTTGTGATGCAGGGGGTGGGGCAGGACCTCTGGGGCAGGAAATTTCGACATACTAAAATGCTGTTTTCTTACCTGGAGCAATTATTTACTGCAAAGCCTCCGCCTTGCATAACTACATGTATTTTAATATTGATTTATTTGATTATTACATTCGTAATACCCTGTTGTAATTACCTTGTTGTTATATATTTTTGCGTTGGAATTTCCGTAAAATATATCGCGGGTAAGGCATCAGCACTAGCTCTGTGCATTTCTTATATTATTATGTTGCATTCATGCTGTTTTCATCCAGAAATCAACACCACCGTAATGGTATTTTACTACGGGGAGAGAAAACCCAGCACAATTCTCTATGACCTTGCATATACTAACTAAAATGAAATTACAATGCATTTTCGGCAAGCGGCTGAAACTCCAGCTCGAATTTACCATGTACTAAGTCTATGAATTGTGTCTCAGAAATAACGAATTATGTTAGGGCAATGAAACAGTCCGCATTTTATCCTTTTTGTCCGCATCCGAATTTTATATCGCCCGTCCGTCCGTCCGCATGTCCATCCGCGTGTCCGTCCGTCCGTCCGTCCGCATCCGCATTTTATCCCAACCCCCGCAGAGTGTGCATTTTGCTTTTTAATTAAACTTAAAAATTCAAGGTACTTTTACATAATTAAGAGTCAGTTTCTCTATTTAACCGAACAGCAAACAAAGATTCAATTAGTCAGTTCTGTGTACGGCTTGACTGCCAAGCTTTCTCAAGGTCTCAACTTGCTCATGGACGCGGATATACCAGGGATATACTCTAACGGGCTAACAACAGCAACAATAAAATTCTCAATCGTACCACGAAGAAGGCGATGTAGCTCAGAAAACAACGCCGGTAGGACCTGATATTAAAAATAAGACTTTTGCCGGCGAAGTGTGTCGTGTGTCCAAAATTCGTCAAAGATTTTGATAAAGACCTTTCAAAATACTATTTGTTTGATTTATTTTCTGCCATAAAGCATAAAAGAAAACTGAAATTCGAAGAAATCGATAATGGATTTGTTACGTGCGTTTGACCTTTATATTATTATTGTCCCCTTGAGCCTTTATATTATTATTGTCCCCTTGAGGGTAATACAGGATGTGCACAGGCTAACTTGAGCCCTTGACCGAGCTATTTTTAAAACTGTTGTTTATGTGAACTTGCAACCAATCAAAATCTTAGGGCCTGAACTTCAGGTTAAATCTACAGGCACGATGATTTATATTTGAAGTATTCAAGCGCCAACAGCGGTATATATTTATTATATAGTTTTCTTTGTTTTTCTTCATTTTAAATACTACTACTGTATTTCTGGACCGCTCGGCCCCTCCAGGTAATGAAAATTTATACTAATACGTGCAAAAATTACCAGAACCCGCCCGCCTCACAAAATGAACCAATTTCATTGCTCGACATACACAAGTGATCTATGGTCACAACCGCTAATTACAGACGTCTGGTATTTCTATAATTATATTGGAACGAAAC